GGCGGCCGGCGCCGGCCGCGGGCGTGCGACGAGGACTTCGCGTGCCCGGAGCTGGAGGCGCTGTTCCGCGGCTACACGCTGCGGCTGGAGCAGGCGGCCGCGCTGAAGGCGCTGGCCGTGCTCAGCCTGCTGGCGGGCGCGCTGGCGCTGGCCGAGCTGCTGGGCGCGCCGGGGCCCGCGCCCGGCCTGGCGAGGGGCTCGCACCCCGCGCACTGCGTGCTGTTCCTGGCGCTGCTGGTGGTCACCAACGTGCGCTCGCTGCGCGCGCCGCAGCTGCGGCGCCTCGGCCAGCTCGCGCTGCTCTTCAGCTTGACCTTCGCGCTGCTCTGCTGCCCCTTCGCGCTCGGCGGCCCCGCCGCGGTCCACGCCGGGGGAGCCGCGGGGGCGCCGACGGCCGACCGGGGCGTGTGGCAGCTCCTCCTGGTCACCTTCGTGTCCTACGCCCTGCTGCCGGTGCGCAGCCTGCTGGCCGTCGGCTTCGGGCTCGTGGTGGCCGCCTCACACCTGCTGGTCACGGCCACTTTGGTCCCCGCCAAGCGCCCGCGCCTCTGGAGGACGGTGAGTGCCGCCGCGCGCCCCCTGTCTGGTCTGGGACACGCCTGTCCGGGAGGGACTGGGGACGCAGGGGGCTGGGCGCGCGTCGACCTGTGAGGGCAGGTGGGGAAACTGAGGCCCCGAATTCGTGGGGGCGGCTGCGTTCAAGGTCACTCAGTGAGTTGGGGGCGCAGTGGGGGCCGGCACCCTGGGGCGAGGCTCTTTCCTAGTCGGAGTCTACAAAGCGCCGCTGGGCGTGGAGTGTGGAGACGGGAGACAGGGGCGGAGGGGGCAAGGATGGCTCCAAGGTCAGGCGGCTGGTGAGCCGCCAAGCGGGGCTGGAGCTCGGGGCTGTCGCTCTGATGCGCCGGTCCCCGCAGGAGGGACGGAGGGTGGGCGCGGGAGAGCGGGCTCCGGCGGGCTCCGGCGGGCTCCGGCGGGCTCCGGCGGGCTCCGGCGGGCAGGGTTCCTCGCCGGCTGTGCGCACAGCCCGGGGCTCTGCTCCCGTGCGCCTGGGGCGCGCGCACGGGGCTCGCAGACTGCCCTCCCGGCCCTGAGGCCCCCTAGGGACCCGGGCAGCGGAAAGGCCTCTGGCCCCCTTCTGTCGCCCCGGCGCCCGGCGGTGGACCCGTTTCCATCCGGAACGACTGGGTTTGCTAAGGTCGCACAGGGTTTTCTGGTCCCTGCCGCCCTCGCTCAGCCGTGGCTTTGGCACCGGCTCGCAGCACCCAAACTTTGTCACTGTCATCCGGGCGGGGCGGGCGAGATGGTTGAAAGGACGAGGTCGCGGTCCCTTCCCGCGGGCTCCTCCCCGGCGAGGACCCTGAGGCCGGAGCAGACGTCCTTGCCGCGTGGGGCTTTCGGAGCTTCTCCAGCGCCTCCGCCGCGCGGCCCCTCCCACCCGGGCTGGGAGGGGGTCCCTGAGGGAAACTCTGCTTCTGCCTGGGATGCATTTTGGCAGGAGGGTGGTGGGAACCGGAGGGGGAGGAAGGCGGGAGAGAAGGCGGCAGATGGAAGCGATGGAGGAGGGGGTGAGGCGGGGAACTGGACAGACAACTGGGGAGGCCGGCAGTCGGATAGCTGGGGCCTGGGCACCAAGTCGCCCACACCTGGACCGAGGCAGGGAGGTGCCCCCAAACAGTGATGCCCGGGTTGCTCATGGCCAGGGGGGCCACAGGACAGGGAGGAGAGACAACGCTGGGCCGGCATTTCAGAGCCCAGAGAGCGGGGTGGGGGCTGGGAGGGCAGGAGGGTGCAGCCCCTCGGGGGACCTGGAGTGAAGAGAGAAAGAGAAGTAGAGGTGAAGGCCAGAGACAGAGAGAAGGCAGAGGCGAGGGACCCCCGAGGGCTGCTGGCCCAGGGAGGGGGCGGGAAGGGCTGCCCGGCAGGGAGGCCTCCTGTGGGTGGCACCTGGCCTGCTTGACCTTCGCAGGGGTCACTCCTGCAGCGCCCTCCCTACCACCCTCCCCTCTGCGTGCGTCCCCCAGCCAGGACAACCTCCCCACGAGGACCAGAAGGGAGGCACAGAGGCCGGGTCAGATGTGGGGGGTGTGGTGGGGCCTGAGCTGACCTGGACAGGCTGGCGGGCCGCGGTGGGTGCAGGACGCTGGGGGTTCGTTCGGCTGGTTCCATGAACGCCCGTGGCGTCAGTTTCTCCTCTTCACACACAGACTGTTCTACACAGCTCCTGTCATCCCTTTCAGAGAATAAAAGACTGAAAAAGAGAGGAGAGAGTCTGTAAGGGCCCCTGGCCCTTCCCAGGACGAGGGAGCCCATCTTGGGAGTGGGTTCTTAGGGAGCAGACATCTGGGGTTCGCTGCTCCTGGCTGTGCCCTCCTGAGCAATACAGGCCTGTCCCTCACTGAGCCTCAGTTTCCCCACCTGTATAAGGGGCGTGACGGCTGCCCTGCAGGGCTGTGGTGAAAGTGAGACATTCGTGTTGGAAAAGCTCGTTTTTGAAAATTCCTGCCACTTTTAAATCGCTTGGCTTCTTTAGAATGTATTCAAATTCCCAAGTGGATGCCAGGGGTGGTGATAGTGACAAATCGATGGGGGTGGGTGCAGAGAAGCACGTGGTGAGGGGACTGGATGATGCCCAGGGGCTCCTCCCTGCCCCCAGTTGGAAAGCTCTGGGGTCTGTGACTGTCCTGCGACAAATGAAGAAGACAGCACCCACCTTCACGAAGCACGCGCCGGCTTCTCCCTGCCCCAGGTCCTCCCGCCTCCCTGCGGTGCAGCCACCTCCTGACAGTGGCTTCCTCAGGACCATGAATTTGGGGGCCAGAAACCCTCAGAGCAGGGGGACACCCCAAAGAGGCTGAAGGACAATGCACAAGGCCATCTTTGTAGCGTGTCATGTGCACGCTGGACATTGGGTGCTCTGGGGACAGGTGGGGCCAGGGTGCTCCGAGCACCTTTGGCCTCTGTAGGGAGGTTCTTGGGGTTTCCTTCAGCAATCTCGTGCTGCCCTGGTGTGCGGCGTCTGGGGGTGCTGCCTGTGTGCTTTGGGGCTCTGTAGAGCCCAGGCCAGCCTTGATGCTGAGGGCTGAGAGCATGCAGAAAGTGGGCGCAGGATCCCCAAGCAGGGGCAGGGCCCCGCTGTGGCACGTCAGGGTGCCCAGAAGTGCTGGGCGATCCCTCCTGCCGGTATGCCCTGCGGAGCGGGTGGGGTGTCCCCCCTCCGGCACAGTCCCTGTCTGGAGGGAGCTTGCTTTATTTTTGAGAATTTTTATGGGAGTTTATTTGAGCCAAGCTGATGACATGCTGGGAAGAAGGCTCTTAGACGCGGCCGGGGGCTTCGTGTTTTGATTCTAAGTCTGCAGCATCGCCTCGACCCTCAGAAGTGGCTCGACTCCGTCAGGTGCCTCTCGATGTCCCAGCCCCTCCGGGGGCAGGACGTGGCGTGAACAGAAATGGAGGGGGCTAGCGGGGAGGGAGAGGTCAGCTGCTTCCCTCTGCTGGGCCCAGGCCTGGGGAAGGGTGAGGACAGGGGACCCAGTCATTGTCGTTTTGACAGACTCACACGCTGCCTGTTCTAGGACCCCATCGACTGCTTGCGCAGGTTTGTAATCTAACCTCAGAGATGGCAGGAGGGAAGCTAATAAGATGGTGAGAAAATCTCAAAAGGGGCCTTTCTGGTTTTCTTAATTGTAGTGTTTATTTTAGGGGCTGGGGTCCACCTTGGACTTCTAAAAGGCGGCGTCCCCCAGGGTCTCCCCATGTGGCTCTCGTGGCTCCAGCGCCCCTTGCAGGCTGATGGCCCCGGCTCCCGCCTTCAGACTGACCCTTTCCAGACACTGCGCCCGCCGGTGGCCGTGGCCGGGGGGTCGCTGCTAGCCACATCTTGCATCAGAGTTCATCTTTCTCGGCAGTCTGTTCACATTCTTCTTGGTGCCCATGTCACGGCCACCCCCTGCCTCGCCAGCACTTGTGACAGGTCCTTGTCCTGAATCCCTGTTGTCCTGAGATCATCCTGCTGCCCCTGACCCCCGCCCGGCACTCCGGTCACCTCACACTCAGCCCTGCCGGGCACTCAGCCTCACCTGGTACTTGACCTCACCTGCCCTGGTCCTTCACACTCTCAGCCTCTCTTCCTGTCCTGTGTGGAGGACAAGGGGAGGGGGAGACCATGGCCACCCCCACTGGCCACCAGTGTGGCAGCCCTGATGCCCACCCAGGGCCTGGACCCAGAGATGGCAGCTGTGATGGGGTGGGCCCTGGAGTTACGTGCCTGGGTGTAGGACATGACAGCTACTGCTGGTCTTGTGACCTCAGGGAGGTTTATCCTCTCCACCCCCGTGTCTTCTCTGAAAATATGGGCAGTGGCGGCCTCGCCCCAGGGCTGTGAGTTCCAGAAGCAGTGCGTGCCTGGCCATGATGAGATCTGCACCCCCGTCTGCCATCTCTAGGCGGCCTCCGAACAGCTCCCACCCACTGCCTGCTGGGGCCGCGTGCACGGGGAGCGGCTGCTGCCAGCTCAAGGCTGGTCCTCGTCTGGCCTCCAGGCTCTGCCTCCCGGGTGTGGCCTGTCTCCTCCCCACAGCCACGATGCTGGTGGGGACAGTGAGGACGGGTCACTGCCCAGGCACATGGGGCGCCTGAGCCCCCCACTGCGGTCATGGGGCTGTGTGCTGTGGGCTCCGGAGGGGTCGCCGGGGACAGTGGCCCAGAAAGAGGCCAGAGTGCTGGGTGGTGCTCACTGAGGCCCCACCCGCAGAGCCCAGCCGGGGGAGGGGTGAGGAGGGGTGCTGCAGCCCCTGTGGGCGGCATTCCAGGGCATGACCTGCTGTCACTCGCCAGATTGGGGGTCAGGGGGCATTGAAGGCGGCATCCCCCAAAATAGCTGTGGGACAATGAGGCAGGGGCCAGGCCCCGAGAATGAGCAGCTGGCACTGTGGGGACAGGGGACTGGGTTTCCTCAGAGCAAGAGGGGAAGGGGCCTGGCACAGGTGGCAGGGTCTTAGAGCACCGGCTGCCACAGGCTGGCCTTCTTGGCTGCCCCTAAACCCAGAGGCCAGGCAGTAGGGTGACTGTCCCTCCCTGGCCAGCCTGTGCCAGCCCTGCCACCCCCTGCAGCTCCCAACACGTGCTCTTCCCCGGGCTCGGGCCCCTCTCAACCTGTTTTGCTGCCAGTGACCCAACGCCCCCTCCGGGCCACGTCTGCTAGCAGGTGACCTCTGAACATGCCTTTCTCTGTGCTGTCACCCTCATCCCTGCCAAGGCCTCTGCTCACCATGGAGGAGGGATCGGGAGGCGAGTGTGCGGCTTGGCGGGTGCAAGGGGGCCCCCGGAGTGTGGTTGCAGGCACCAGGCAGGGGACACCCCACCTCACCCCGTGGACACTGACCCTGGGCAGGCCTTGGGGCTCCTCCAGGTGAGCAGCTCACATGTGTTGATAGAGCAGCCAGGTGCTCCGTGACCACCCAGCTGGGTTCCAGTTTCCCTGGGGACTTGTCATGGCTGGAGTAGAGGGAAGGTGTGGTGAAGGTGGGTGTGGAGGGGTGACAAGCTGGGGCTCCTGGGTGACCGCCCCTACTCTCCTAGTGCTTTCCCCTTTGGCCAAACTGTCCTGCCTCCCGGACCCCTGCCCCTCAGCTCCTCAGTCCCACCCTGACCTCGGTGGGGTTGCCTGCCTTCCCCTGGCCCCTCCCCGGGCTGGCTGAGGCCTTGGTTTCTGGAAAAGCTGTGTCTGTCTGGCCCACGAGCGTGACCTCCGGTGCCCTGAACTCCTGTGCTGCGCTGACCTGGGTGCCTGGGCCCCACAGTCAGGCCCCTTGTCCTGAGGAGGTGACAGCTGACGGCTCTGCTGCGGGGCCCTCGGAGGCGGGGGTGCTGGGCAGGGAAGGTGTCTGGGGTGGGGCTGCTGCCTCCTGGCAGGATGTCCTATGTGTCATGTGTTCTACGTGTTCAAGATGTTAAAATAAGGCTGGGAGAGGCATGTGGGAGCTGGAATGATTGTGTCTCCTGCAAGGAGAAGTGTGGCTTAGGCAACGGCTGTGCTCACTGCTGTGCCTGTGGGCACTTTACCACACTCAGCACGATTTAAATGTTGACTCTACAAAGATGCACTTTATTGTTTCATATTTGCCGGTCTTCCAACTGCCACCAGTCAAGTGCCTTTGTAAACAGACTGGCGTGAGCATATGCCCAAATGCAGCAGATGGCCCGTTAGAGGACAGGAAAACGCCCTGATCACCGGGGCCATACCAGGCCCCGCGCACAGCCCAGCCCGGCCACCCAGCCCGCGAGAAGCCGGTGCCGACGCCTCAGCCGCAAGCCTGGAGTGCTGGCTACGGGAGGGCACCCAGGCTACGGGGACCAGAGATGTCTCAGGTCACGTGGGGATGATTAGGGTCAGAGCAGGCACTGTGTTCAGAGGACCTTCAGCCATTCGCCTGGACCCCTCATGGGGGTGGCTGTCCTTCCTGCTGGTTGGCAGAGGGTTTTCATGAGGAAAAACCCCATGAAACATCTTTCTAGGAGGAATCTTTCCCCCTCGCGTCTGACTGAGATGGTAAGGTGTGCGCACCCACTCGGTCAGGTGTACGTGGCACTGAATTGGCTCTGTCCAGCATGCTGACGAGTGTCACCCTAAAAAATGAAGGGCCTTTCAAAGTGGCAGGTGACAAGCATTTATTGAGAACAATAAGAACAGCTATTCAGGCAGCACTGACTGAGGCAGAAGCCAGAATGGTGTTCGGATGAGGAGACCAAGGCGATGGGTGTTTATGGGAAGGGGAGGGGACAGTGACGTCCACAGAAGAAAGACACTGCTGTTGGTACAGATAACGTGACATAGTGACATTGCTGTTCTAAACAATGTTTTTAATTTTCAGTCCGGTTGTCATAGCAGCTTTCCTGTTATCTCTGCAAACTGTTCTTTGGGATACAATGTTGCTTTAGGCCTGGTCCGAAGGTTACTTTGTTTTGTTTCAACATCCAAACGTTTGAGGCATGACAGGCAGGGCAGTCTGGGGGTGGCAGCCCCTGGGCATTGGCTCCCTTCACATTGTTTACATGAGTTCACGCTTGTTTTTTGGAGATGTTGGCTGAGTGCTGGGGTTTATGGATTCACGGGCCCCGCCTCTCCCTCTGTCACCTCCTGTGAACAGCTGTAATGTCTCCAGGTGGAGGTCATTGCTGACTGCGGCCCTGTATGTCCACGCCCCTGAGGCTTGAGGCTGTCACGTCACCTGGAGTAGGACAGGTGCAGCCCCAAGTCCTCGGTGTTTCCTCATCTCTCCTCCTCGTGGCCTCCGCCCTCTTGAGGTTGGAGACCCCATGGCTGCTGTCTCCCCGCCCGCTCTCTGGCCCCTCCCTCTGGTCCATGCCCAGGTGCTGCCAGTGGGTCGTCCATGCGACTTGGTTCCCCGTCTCCTTGTCCTGCAGTCATCCCAGTCAGGCCATTGCATCCTCAATGCCTGGAGCCCCGTGACCATGGCCTGTGGCTGGCCGGCTGCTGTATTTGTTTTGTCCTGTGTAATTGTAAGCAGCAGACAGTCCTGGGTTTCTGGCTAATCCATGAGGAGCAGTGGCCCTGGGAACCTGCCGGCAGCACCTGGCTCCATCAGGCGCGGAAACCCTCCCCGTTTGCAGCTAACAGCTCACATAAACCCCGCGGGGGCAGAGGCCCGGGTGGCTCCTCGGTGGCTGCACGCTGGCGGCTGTGAGGTGTGCGGAGCCAGGGCCCTGCTCGCACCTCACCGTCTTCTCCCTTCCAGCTCGGCGCCAACGCCCTGCTCTTCGTGGGTGTGAACATGTACGGGGTCTGTGTGAGGGTCCTGGCCGAGCGCTCCCAGCGAAGGGCCTTCCTGCAGGCCCGGAACTGCATCGAGGACCGGCTGCGGCTGGAGGACGAGAACGAGAAGCAGGTTGGTGCGGTGGTCCCCCCCGCCAGGGATGGGGGCATGGAGCGGGTGCTGGGGATGCGCCCCATCCTGGGAGGAGGTGCTGGGGGAACACGCACTGGTTCTGGGTGGGGGATATACCCCATTCTGGGAGGGGTTGCTGGGGACCCACCCTGTTCTGGATGGGGGTGCTGGGGACCCAGCGCTGCACTGATCACTGCGCCCGTCTGCTTCTGCAGGTGGCAGGACACGCAGGGCTGGGGCTGGAGGGGCTGGGAACAGGGTCCTTGAGCAAGGGGCGTCTGGGGGGAGCAGGACCAGCTGCCTGGCGCGCATTCTTGGTGGGTGAGGGGAGGCCTTTAATTTGCTGTGGCCTCCGTGGAGGGGGGGAGGGGGCTGAGCGCGCAGCCCGTGCGCATGTGGAGACCGTGTGCAGCGGGAGACCCATGAGTCGTGGGTGTGGGCTCAGTGCAGAGGTGAGGGCCTGCAGGTGGGCGGGTGACGCGCTGGAGGTCGCCGCCTTCTCTCCTGTCCAGGGTGGGCATCTAGCAGAGGTGCTGCAGCCGGGGCTCCGCGAGGCAGGAGGCGACGGCTTCAGTGCGCAGAGCGCGGCAGGCCTGCACTTGTGTGGCTGCCACGTCCCAGAGGGGAGAGCGAGGGGCTGGCTCTGAAATGCACACCCCAGTGTGAGACTCCTGCCGTTTTGTTCAGGGACAGGAACCTGCAGATGGAAGCTCTGTCCTGGGCTCTCAGTCCCTCTCACTGATCACAGACGCGATGCCACAGTAATCCTGGCCCAGGCTGATCAGTTACTTTTTGGTGCAGGTCGTAGGGCGCTTCGCCTCAGACCTGGGGGACAGTCTCTGACTGTCTCAGGGAACGGTGTGCTGTGAGCATCGCCACTGGGCCCGCACGGCCGGGACTGTCCCTGCTTGGCCTGTGCCTGCCGTGACTGTTTGGGGCAATGCCGTGACAAAGGTGATATTAGCTGCAGCACGAGGGGCAGCCCTCCCCTCCTTTGTGGTTTAGAACTAAGAGCTCTGCAGTCGAGGGACGAAATTTTAAAAGAAAGTGTGACTTCTTTGGTGCAAAACCCGAGTTTTTATTGGTTTCTGGCTCTGCTCCCTGCAGACGCAGACAGACACGGCCTCCCCCGCTGTTTCTACAAGTGCAAATATTGGAACAGCTGTCCGTCCCTCTCAGGGCAGCCCACAGAACCAGAGGGCTGGAGGACGGCGGGCAGGGCCTTGTCTGCCCGCTGGACAGTTATATGTTTCCAGATGGTTCTCTGCTGTACTTGGAGAAAGCACCCAGCTTGTCAGTCCCCGAGGCTGACCCCGTCGAGAGGGACTCGGGGATGCTGAGGGGACCCCACCCGCCCCGTGTCAGAACAAGCCCGGCTGCCGGAGAGGGTCCTTGTGGAACAGAGATGTGTCTGTCCCTCCTGTCTGGGTTCTTGGTTTTCTAAAGCTAATTTCGGGCCTCTGCTTCATTGTTAAGCTAAAGAAATGGTTCTGTTTTATAAATGTGAGCACAGGGGCTGGCTCAGAGGATGTAACTGACTGGGAAGGAGAAAGAAGCGAGGGACAAAGTGGCCGGTGGCAGAGGGAACAGAGGCGGCCGGAGCCCAGAAGGCCCTGCCGTCCCTTTACAGTCTCAGGGGTCCTCGCGGTGCACAGGTTCACGCGGAAGTTCTGGGTACGGACACCCGGGGAGACGTCCCGAAGGCCTTTATAGGCCTCAGTTTCAGGACAGAATGTCACAATTGATTCTTTGAAATAGAAAAGCCTTGGAGACCTGAATCGAGAAGAAAGAGCCGGCAGAAAGGAGAGCATTAGGACAGGAAAGCTCGGCTGCAGACAAAGGCAGGTTAAAAATAGACAACAGGGAAACACTCACGATGAGCCGATGCCAGAATATCTGAAAGCTTAGACAAAATGGTCAAATTCCCAGAACGGCATCAGTTACCGGAACTGATTCTAGAAGAAAAAGAAAGCTTGAAGCGTCCTATGACCAGTAAGACACTGACTCAGAAATGGAAAACCGGCCTGATGGTTGTACAGACGAGGCTTCCAGGGGAAACCGCTCTGTTTCTGTGAAGGTGTCATTTTGGGGGCATCCTAGAGGGAGAAGCACACGGCATGTGGGACCGGCACTTGTCACGGTCCTCTGGAGATGGATTCAGTCATGTCAACAGCTTCTTCCATTCTGCTGCCCAGCCATGTCCGTGGTGGGGCTCGGGGTACGCTGTGCCCAGGAGGGCGGCCGAGTCCCCAGCGGGTACTCCTCTGGCAAAGCTCAGGTGTTTATTCTGCCCTTTGGGGGAAAGAACAACCGATCCCTGGAGACCAGGAGAAAATGCCATGTGGCCTCCAGACCTGCTTGTGTCTGTCTGTCCTGGGAGACAGGGGCTCTCCCAGTCCGTCTCCATGTCCCTCTCTTCGTGTGGGGCGGTGGGGCAGGCAGCGGGGCCTGGCTGCCTGGGTCCTTCCTGTGACCTGATGCCGGTGACGCTGGGGCGCACGGCCGGCAGCTTGGAACAGCTGGGGCACCGTGGGTGGCTGGTTGTTCTGTAGGTGAAGCTCGCACCTGCCCAGTGCTCCAGGAGCAAGTTACCCGCACAGGACCGCCCAGGCCTGGGCCGGGCAGCGCCTGCAGGACCGGACCGCGTGCTGGCCTTGTGTCCCAGACGGGCGCATGGACGACGCACAGGAGGGCTCTGCTGTATCACACTGCCTGTCTCTCCCATCCAGGAGCGGCTGCTCATGAGCCTCCTGCCCCGGAATGTCGCCATGGAGATGAAGGAGGACTTCCTGAAGCCCCCCGAGAGGATCTTCCACAAGATATACATCCAGCGGCACGACAACGTGAGGTAGGGCTGCTCTGGCCGGCGGCGGCGGGCCCGGGAGCTGAGTTGGAGGTGATGATAGAGGTGGGGGTGACGGAGGTGGGAGGTGATGGAGGTGGGAGGTGACGGAGGTGGGGTGACGGTGGTGGGAGGTGACGGAGGTGGGAGGTGACGGAGGTGGGGTGACGGTGGTGGGAGGTGGTGGCTGAGGTGGGCAGAGGGCCCCAGTTTGAGGGGAGGAGGGGGCAGGTGTGGGTCAGCAGACCCAGGTGAGCACCTGCCTTGCAGAGAAGCAGGTTCCACAAGGGGGGTGGAGTGGTGGCTTCTCAGGTGACACCTGTCACAGCTGCTCTTTCTGATTAGTCAGCAACTCTGCTTTCCTGTGTTGGCTAGAGAGGTCAAAGCTCTGTCGCTAAGCACGTTGGGGCAGTGGAGTGGCCTTTCGGGTTGGGAATTCCCCGCGTCAGGCTAACAGCTCGGCGTTATTCCAGTTGTGCTGGGCCTGGGACAGGTGCCCTCCTCTTCCGCAGCCTGTCCATCTCATGACAGCCCTGGGGTGGCGTTGTTGTTCCCATGTTACGGGTCAGGAAATAGACCCCTGGGAACCAGCTTGCCTGACACTCTCAGCTTCACTTGTTTGTTTTTAAAGGGTCTGTTGAAAAGTACTTTGTCCTGTTAAGGCTTGCACCTCCCCCTAATGTTGCCTGTCTGGGGCAGCCCTGTACCTAAGAGTCACTCAGGCAGGAGATGGCGTGGACGCCCCGCCCTGCCTTCCTGTCCTCTGTTCTGTGCTGACTCTTGGTGTTGGTGCCAGGCCTCCCTGCCCATGGGGCCTGTGACACAAATGGGTAAGAAAGCGTCGTTGTGTCTCTGTCGAGTGCTGCCGACCGGGTCCCTTGAGCTGGTACTTGTTCGTCCCTGTGTGCAAGCCCGCGTGGCTAACCGTGTCCAGCTGAGCTCCTTACCTGTGGGCACACTCGCTCCCACTGCCGTGCCTCTTGCTAAGGACCCGTGTTGTCCTGTTGCAGAGGGGCACACTGAAGACCCCATGTGCGGGGCCAGCATTGGCGCCCAGGCAGGACAGACCTCTCCTCTAGACATGGGGTTCCATTAACGACATCACAGCCCTGTGGTCCACCAGCATTGTCCCCTCCACTCACAGGAGAGGGAACTGAGGTTCCTCCAGTGAGGCGAGTGGGCAGGACTCCCCGGCCCGTGAGTGGCGGGGCTGAGGCTGGACCTGGGATTGGCTGGTATCAGGGGACGTCTGCGCAGATTTTCCCAGCTGCCCACTGGCTCTAATTAGTGGTACAGACACAATGCAGTGACCCAGCCCCTGCTGAGAAGACCAGACCTCCAGAACATTCCAGGGAGTGCCTCCTGGGCAAAGCGTCTGCACACAGTAGGGAAGGCATCAGATGTCACCTGGGGCTGCAGGTGCAGGTGGGCATGGTGCGTGCCCGCCCCAGTGCCCTCCCCGCCTGTCCTCTGACCTGGACAACTGTGGATGTGGCCAGTCACTGCGTCCCTTCACTGCTGAAAGTCTCCACTCTCGTTCCCTGGCGGGAGCCTTGTTGCCACGGCTGGTGGGCTGGTGTGCTGGATGTGGGCACGACGGGAGAGCAAGATGAGGCCCCCGGTGGCAGTGGCGCCAGCCCCGCCCTGGCCTCTGGCCACCCTCCAGCAGGGGCTGGACATGTCCTTCTGCGGCTCAGATGCAAACTTCGCCTGGATTTCCTTGCTGTCCGTGTGAGCTCTTCGGTGGGTCCACGTCGTTCCTGGGCTAACATACAAACTCAGGGCGCCATTTGCACTTCATCCCTCGCTGATGCTGTCGTGAGTGGGGAACAGGACATCTGAAATCCTCCCCTTTATAAAAGCAATGGCACTCCCTGCGAAAATGGTCAGAGTCAACATTGTCAGAACACTGGAAATTAACCGAAGTTTTGCAAGAATTCAGGAAGGTTTAAGAAAAACAGCTAACTCCTGGTAAGAACAAGGAGCTTGGTGGACTCCAACGTCGCCCCGACCCGCCTTTGTCTCTCCAGCCCCTTGATGGCTTTGAAAACCAGCAGCTGTGATCACAGTGGAAACCTGCACCCTGGCAGCCCCCGGAGGGGCGTCGTCACTTTCACAGTCCTGTTGTCAGAGAACTTCCCTAATTTGACCGGAAGTTCCCTGGACGCCCCAGCAAGCGTGGGCTTGTCTTTATGGGAGCGGACTCAAAGCTCAGTGTGAACAGCCTCCGCCCAGGGCATGGATGCAAAACGATCAGCGGCAACTGTTTAGCATCAGAGCTGCCGTGGGCGGCGCTGCCCGCGGAGACGAGCAGCTAGGGAATCAAAAACCACCAAGGAAAAGCTGAGGAATGGATGTCCAGCGGCACTCGGAAAGGCTTGGGGATATTCCTGGGAAGCAGAGTCAAGCGTAGGCTGTGCGCACGCTCAGAAAAGGCCCAGAAGGCCCTGCGCTCTCATTAGGTGCATGACATCCGTTTCAGAGCTTTACGTTTGTAACCCGTTTACCCTCACAGCCGACGAGGCGGACTCGAGTCTTGTCCTCATTTTACAGAAGAAAGGACTGACGGGCGGGAGCGTTAGATGGGTTGCCGGGGTCCCACCACTCGCTCCACTGCCCTCCTGCCCTTCCTGGGTTGGCTCCGGGAGCCTTCATCCTGGAGACGCGTGCCGCACTGCTTATAGCTTGTACCCGTGCTCTAGCCCGTCTGCAGCCCTCGGCTTTTGACAAGTCATTGTATGGTTTCTCGCCCACCTCAGTTTGGCACATGCTGTTTGTACTTCTGAACGCCCCCACCCTCCCTCCTTCCAAGGGAGGTGTGCCCCTGTCCTGTGCACAGCACAGTAATGCACTGTGAGGCCCCGACCATGTCCCGGCCTCGTGTCGCCTGTGTCAGCTGCCAGGAGACGAAAGAGGGTGCAGAGGGCCCCTTACTTCTTAAAAGCATGTCACTTCTGCTCATGAGCCACCAGCTACGACTGTCATGGGGTCACCCTGGGAAGGGGGCAGGTCTAGTGGACGTGGAGCTGCCCCCCCCCCGTGTCCTGGGAGGGGTCAGCAGGAGCCCTGGGTGGCTGCAGCATGTCCTCCCTGTGTGACCATGAAAAGCCTGTGGCTTCTCCCAGCCTGTAGAGCGGGAAGGACAGAGCCTTGGCTTCCAGCCTGGGTCGAGGAATCACGGGGAGATTTGCGTTAAGGTGGCTCCAGGGGCGGTCACTCGCCTGAGCAGGCGCGTGTCGTGTCAGGTGGAGGGCAGCGCACCGTGTCTCTTGCAGCATACTCTTCGCGGACATCGTGGGTTTCACGGGCTTGGCGTCCCAGTGCACCGCCCAGGAGCTGGTGAAGCTGCTGAACGAACTCTTCGGCAAGTTCGACGAGCTGGCCACGGTAAGCACAGCCTGCGTCCCACGTCATTGGAACTGGGTCTGGGGTCCCACCTGCCTGAGAAGTGGGCTCGCCCAGCACGGTCACTGCTGGGTCAGCTCACTCCTCAGTGACGAGTTTCCTGGGGTCGCGTGTTGGGTTTGCAGAGGGAAGGCCGTGCACCCGCCCAGCCAGCACCCGCTGTGAAGGGCCCCAGGCCCAAGCGGGCTGGCAGTGCAGTGAGGCTGTGGCCCGTGGGGACGTGGCCGCCGTCACAGCTCCTCGCCCGCACGGCCTTGGCAGGGGCTCTGCAGCAGGCCCGAGCTAGCCTTCTTGTCTTGTGCTTGATCTCACCAGTGAAAGCATCAGTCTTCCATCTCTAAGTGCGAGGTTAGCCCTACGGTTTTGTGGATGCTTTTAATCAAGTGGTAGAATTTCCTTTTATTCTCATTTTGTTTCTATCAGAAATGGATGCTGGGTTTTGTCCAATGTTTGACTGTGTCTACAGCAATGATGCTGTGGGTTTTCAGTTTTAGCTAATATGATGAGTTATATCGATTTATGGTAGAACGTTAGAACATCCTCGCGTGCCTGGGACCAGCCCGACTCGGACAGACTGTGTTATCCTTTTCACGTGTTGTGGGCTTCGATTTGCTAATCTTTTATTTAGAATTTTCCCACTTATGTTCCTGAGGATGTTATTCGGTGGCTTTCTTTTCTTATCTCATAGGAGAGCTCGGGGGTATTTCCTCCTGTTCAATTTTCTGGGAGAGTTTGTGTGGAATTGGTGTAATTTCTTTCTTAAATGTGTGAATCCACCTGGGCCTGCACTTTTGTTCATGGAAGTTTTTAACTACAAATTCAATTTCTTTAAATAGGACTAGTCAGGTTATCTTTTTTCTTCTTCCTCAAATGAGCTTGATAGTTCTTTTTTTAATCTTCCAAGGAATCTGTTCATTTAATCTAAGTTGTCAAAATTATTAGAATAAAGCTATTCACAATATTTCTCGTTACCCTTTTAATATCTAAACTCTGTGGTGATACCACCTCTCCCGTTCCCGATTTTGGTAATTTGCGTCTTCCCTTTTTCCTGATCGTTATGGGTAGAGGTTTGTCGATGTTATTGATCTCCTTAAAGAAGTTGCTTTTGGTTTTGTCGATTTCGCTAGTCTTCTATTTTACGAGTTTTCTGTCTGATTTGTATTATTTTGTTTCTTTTGCTTATTTTGGTTTTACGTTGCTCTTAATTTTGTAGTTTCTTTTTTTCTTTTATTGGGGAATTGGGGAAGGGGAACAGCCAAGTTGTTGTCCTTCACTCTTAGTTGTGGAGGGCGCAGCTAGCTCAGTTCCAAGTCCAGTCGTGCTGTTCAGCTCAAGGTGCTGTGTTCAATCTTAGTTGCGGGTGGGCGTAGCCACCATCCCATGCGGGAGTCAAACCGGCAGCCTTGTTGTTAAGAGAGCACGCTCTATCCGCTGAGCCATCCGGGCAGCAGCTCAGTTCAAGGTGCCAAATTCAGTCTTTAGTTGCGGGCAGGTGTAGCCCACCATCCCATGTGGGAGTCCATCAGGCAACCTTGTTAGGAGCACGTGCTCTCACCAGCTGAGCCATCCTGCCACGTGTTGGCAGCTCAGCTGCAGCTCAGCTCGGGCACAGCTCTCTGGCCCATGTGGGAATCGAACCGGCGGCCCTGTTGCTCAGAGCTCGCGCTCTTAACCAACTGAGCCACTCGGCCGGCTCCCGTTTTGTAGTTTCTTAAGGTAGAAGCTGAGGTCATTGATTTGAGATCTTTTTTCTCTTCTAATATAACATTTAGCTGGGACTGTCCTGTGACGTACTGTTTAGCAGCATCCCAGATTTCTATCTTGTGTTTTTATTTTTATTCAGTCCAAAAAGTTTTCTAATTTCTTTTTTCATCTTTCTTGACCCAGTGGATTTTTTTTGTGGGGGGGGATTTTTCAAAGATATTTCTGTTTTTTTGTTTTTTTTTTTACTTCAAATTTAATTCCATTATGGTCAGAAAATATACTTTTTTAAATTTGAATGCTCTTTAATTTATGGCCCAGAAACAGTCTACTTTGGTGAATGACCCTGTACACTGGAAAATGCTGTCTCCTGCGTTTTTAGAAATCTCGTGTTTGGGAGTGTTCTGTGGACGTTTGTTAGGCCGGCTGGCTGGTCGCAGTGCCCACGTGTCGAGATCCTTAGGGTCTCCGGGGACTTGCTCTCAGCGAGTGAGAGGGGAGCCCAGACTCTCCAGCCTGGTCATTGTCTCCACGTCTCCTTTCCGTCCTACGGCTTTGGCTCCACGTTTTCTCAAGCTCTGTTATCAGATTCGTAACCATTTAGGACTGTTCGCTCCTCATGCTGAGTTAAGTCTTTTCTCAGGAAGAAATTACCCTCCTCACCCTGGTCCTGGTCTCTGCTCTGCAGCCTGGTCTCCTGTGAATACGGCCATTCCCAGGGTGCTGTGATTCTTGTCAGGAGGCAGGCTTCTCCCTCCTCTTGTCTTCAATGTCTTTTTATATAAAATGTACGCTTTAAGTGTTGGGTTTTCCTTTTTAAAAATCTAATCTGACAACCTTGATCGTGTCACATTTGGACAAAAACTCACCACTCTTTTCCAAATACCTTTGGTGTCCCCTTTCGTTCCCTCAGGGACCCCAGTTGTCCCACAGCTCCGATGATTTTTTTTCATGTTTTGGATTCTTTTTCCTTCTGTTTCCTTCTGGACAGTCTCTACTGCTGTGTCCTCAGGTCCCTGGCCGTCCCTCCTGTCGTATCCGTGGAGCCTTGTCCGTGCAGACACCTCCATCTCCACAAGCTCAGTTTGGGCCTTTCCCCCTCGTTGATGTGACTGTGATTGTATATGTTTGGAATATATTCTCTAACCTCCGTGGGCCGAGTTTTTCAGCTTATGCCGTCTTGTATGTGCTCCTGGCGTGGGGCGCGGGCCCATCAGCTGTGCAGGCATGGAAAGCACACACAGCTGTGCAGGAAGCACACCTTTCCTCATGCAGCCCCTGCTGGCGGGTAGACAAACACGGGCGTGTTTGCCCTGGGCGCCAGGGTGGTGCGTGGCCTGTTTGCCCCTTATCCACGGCTCAGCTGCAGAAGCCAGCAGCACTTTTGACCTTTTCGCCGTTTATTGGGTCCATTTTAGACTGCGTTTCCTCTGATGTCCTGTACACTTGGGGAGCTGGGCATGTCCCTTTGAGTTGATGGGGAGACACCTGTCTGGGGCTCAGTGTTGCTCCACACCTGTGGGGGGATGGGCCCTTCTCTGGATGTCAGATCTCTTAGTGGGAAAGTGAGTGGCTACACGACGCTGTGCATTCCGCTGGTTCCAGGAGGCTGCGTGCTGGCCGCGGGGATGAGCCTGTGTCCTGGCGTGGCCTCCTGTCAGCAAGCAGCCTGCACTGGTCCTGGCCCCGCCACTCAGGGCGACAGGTGATGGCAGCCAGTCCTCAGCTCTGGTCATGAGCCCGGAATCCTTCAGGGCCTGTTTCCAGAGACAGCCCCGTCCCACTGCTGTGACTTCTCAGCCCCAGGGTGGCTGTTCCCGCACACGGCAGGGACGCGTGGGATTCAGGACGGTGCAGGTGGCCCACCGGTCACTCGTGTCACCAGGCATCTGAGGCTGGACAAGTGCGGGAGGCGCTTCCTCTCCGGTCTGCGCGTTCGCATCCCATGGGGCTCTTCGAGTCACTGGTGGGCTCCCGCGCTGCTGCTTGCCTGTCCTGCCACATTTAGCCCCCCAAAGCCAGCCCCTCCAGCCACCTCCCCCGTTTTTCTTCTCCCTTTGGCCAGAAACAGCTGTTTAGGCATCACAAATGCTCCCTGGGGGAGCTCCAGGCACTGACTTTCAATATTTACAGGGAAGATTTTAATCTCTAAAACACTGAAACCAGTGAAAAACGGCCTTTTTGGTCTCTAGGGCTTGCTAACAGAAGCCAGGACACTTGAGAAGAATAAACCAGGCGACGTGTTAACATTTGCTTCTCCAGTCTGTTCTGGGCTGTGTCTGCTGCCCCATGGCGGAGCCTGGCCAGGAGGGACACAGCCTTGTGACACTATAACCATGTGCCAGCTGTGTGTCCTGACCGTCCGCTAAGGACGGCCGCTCTTCCAGAGGCCCCTCCGGGACACGGTGGGTTTCGTCCACCCATGGAGCCTGTCATACCACCCATCGTGGACCCTGCCTGTCACCTCTAGATGTCCCTCCTCGGGGGTGGGCCTCTGGGGAGTCATGTCACACATCTACCGCCTGTATCCCAGCCCTCTGATTACAGCAGCTCCTTCCTGTGGGGGCTGCCCTCGGGGAGCCCACCCTGCCCGCTCTACCACAACGTCCCTTCCCTGTGGGGGTCACCCTGCGTCTCTGAGGTACAGGGGAGGCTGTTTGGGGCAGCCCCCCACAGCTCCTAATTCACCTTTGAATCTGACGGCACTCACCCCCCAAATCTGCCTGTCAGGTCTGAGACCATTCACTCACTCACTCACACCTACCCCTTCAACAGCCTCATACGAGCACCTGTCCCAGGGACAGGGTGTCGGGGACACGCACAGGTGAAGGGGAGGCCTTGGAGTCATGGGGCCTGGACACAGCTGGGAACACTGCAGAGCTGGCTGGGGGCACACGGACGCCCACAGTCACCCACACACATGTCCACAGAGATGCCACCAGGTGGGGCAGGTCACCCCAGATCTCCAGAATGAGGGCTTGGTGATCCGTCTGACAGTGTAAGACGAGAACCCATGTGTCAGTAGGTGCCGTCACTTCCGTGCGCTCCTGGGAGGGAGGGGTCTCAAACCCCAGACCACCGGCATCGAGGAGTCAGCTCGTGTGTGTGGCTCGGGGCTCAGAGTTAAACAGGAGTGTGGCTGTGTTCTCAGGGGGGCCCGGGGCTGTGGGCTTTGCCGACCTCGGGCTCAGGGAGGCCGGTCTCCTCACGTGCACAGCACAGGACAGACAAGGCCATTCCTTGGGGAGAGCTGCTCACAAGTCCTGTGCGCCTGGACTCAGGGCTAAAGCCGCAGGGACACGCAGATGTGTGCGGCCTGCACTCCCGGGTGGGTGGGGGAATCCGGCACGTTCCAGGAGGCTGTCACATGCACTCAGGAGGTGCCTGTGCCCCTCTTGGGGGCGAAAGCCCCACTGCGGGAGAGGGGCTGGCTCCCCGGGTAGCTCCACAGCCTTGCAGGGTTTGTGGGGTTGGCCTGCCGAACGGAGAGAAAGGCAGGTGGACCCCTGCCTGGAGCAGGCCTGAGTGTAGGTGTGGGGGATCCTGACCCCAGCCAAGGGCCCCTCGGGGAGTCCCTTGGGTCAGGCCGGGGGCCCTGGCGTGAGTGGCGCCCTGTGCTCTGTGGTGACCGCGTCTGGTGGTGGGAAGGTGCTCGGCCCGGTGGGTCACTGACGTGCCATTTGCCTCTTGCCTGAAGGAGAACCACTGCCGGCGTATCAAGATCCTGGGGGACTGCTACTACTGCGTGTCCGGCCTCACCCAGCCTAAGACTGACCATGCCCACTGCTGCGTGGAGATGGGCCTGGACATGATCGACACCATGACGTGAGTGCCGCAGGGCCTGTCCCTTATGGACGTCCCCCCTTCGTGGACGCTCCCCACTTCTGCCCCAGGAGGCCCCCCGCAGGCCCGCACTGTCCCAGCCAGTCCGTCCAGGTGGGCCACCTGTGCCAGGGCTGCAGAGGACCAACCCGCAGGGTGAGGGGCTGGGTGAGGGAGTGCCGCCTGGTCTGTGGAGCCCCCTTGACCCGCTTCTGCACTTGGTTGGGGCTGCGTTGTCTGTGGTAACGCAAGTGTTGCCAGGCATGCATGAGTCACGCAGAAAGGTGGCCTTCGGAGCTTCCCTGGGCTCTGAAGGGAGCCTGACCAGGGCGTCGCCTGGGGAAGACTTGGCCCAGAGCCAGCCGAGTTCCACTAGGAAAGGAGCCGCGTGTGCTCGTCTCCCTGGGCCGGCGACCAGGTCTCAGGTGCGCTCTGTGGGGCGAGGGTTGGATGGAGCAGGTGAGTGTTTCGGGAACGCCATGGGCCTGGCTGCCGCTCCTTAGCCAGCCTTGCCTGTTGCGTCCTTGGTACTGACAAGCGTGGTCAGGCGAGGAGCCTTCCGTCCAGTTAGCAGGGCGCAGCCCCGAGACCCTCTGTGCTCAACGGCGCCCCTTCCCACACAGGCTCTGGGCTTTCCTGGTCTGCCTTGTCCTTTATTCCTGTTTCTTTCAATCTGACTTTTATATCAGGAAAGGCTTCTGTGGGGGTGGGGGTGGGGGGGTGCACATCCCCGGTCCTGCCCGGGAAACCCTGCGACTATCTGCTGTTTGGGTTTGCGCCTGGCACCGAGCTGTGTGGGGCTGGACTGACTTGCCTGCCTCTCCCTGTCCATGGTCCATTTGCCCCAGGAAACAGGGTTCCCTGGCTGTGTCTTCTGGCCTTTCAGTCATTGGCCCCAGGTCCCCGGGGTCCTGCCAGGCCGAGACCTTTGACTCTGGGACTTGCTACCTGAGGCGGTTCGCCCCTCGCCAGCTGGGTGTCTTGCTCAGCCTCCCAAGGCTGCCTTCTGCTTCAGCTCCTGAGGGCCTTGGGGCCCCGAGTCTCTGTCTGGAAAAACTGGAGTCCCTGCCCCCCAGTTCCTGGCTCTGGATAGGAAAGAAGGTGTCAGAGAGATAGCTCTGATGAGGTCAGCGGATGCCTGAGCCCCTGCCCCAGGGCAGACAGCGGCCCCTGCCCACACCCTGTGTCTGTGTGCTGCAGGTCCGTGGCCGAGGCCACCGCGGTGGCCCTGAACATGCGTGTGGGGCTGCACACCGGCCGGGTCCTGTGCGGGGTCCTGGGCCTGCGCAAGTGGCAGTACGACGTGTGGTCCAATGACGTGACCCTGGCCAATGTCATGGAGGCCGCTGGCCTGCCTGGGTAAGTCGGGGCGGGCCACGGCCCCGCCCTGAGTGGGAGAGGGGATTTGAATCTGACCCCCCCGAGTAGGGACCCAGGAGACAGTCCCCTGGGAGCAGCGGTTCTCAACCTGTGGGTCGCGACCCCTTTGGGGGTCGAACGACCCTCTCACAGGGGTCACCTAAGACCATCGGAAAACAAATTTACATTATGATTCATAACAGTAGCAAAATGACAGTTATAGAGTAGCAAAGAAAATAATTTTATGGTCGGGGGTCACCACAACATGAGGAGCTGTATTACGGGGTCGCGGCCTTAGGAAGGTGGAGAACCGCTGCCCAGAGCCACCAGCACCCGCAGAGCAGCCGCGGGGACAGTGAGCGGCCCTGGGCGCTGTCCGCGGTGCTGACCGCCATCCGTGTTTTGCTCTTTCCTTCCGGGTGGAAAGTGCTGGGGTTAGAGCCCCGCTGGGGGGCTGTGGGACCACCTGGCCTGGGGGTGAGATGTGGGGGTGGGGCCAGGCTCAGGGAG